TTCCTTCCTTCCTTCCTTCCTTCCTTCCTTCCTTCCTTCCTTCCTTTCTTTCTTTCTTTCTTTCTTTCTTTCTTTCTTTCTTTCTTTCTTTCTTTCTTTCTTTCTTTCTTTTTTTTCTCTTTCTGTCTCTTTCTTTCAAATTCCTTAAGTTTATTGGTACATTTTACATATGTATTATGATCACATTCATCACTGGGAATTTGTACTATATCTTGGTTCTTCCTTTCCCCCATTCCTTTTCCCTCCTTTCCACCCTGCTATCAGCTTTTCAGCCATGTCAAAACTATCAGAACTGCCAAATCTTACAGGTGGACTAAATGCATTTTGCATAAAGAGATGTGCATGAATCTTTTGGGCTCCAGAGGCACAATATTACAGTTTATATCTAGATGTCCCCCTAAAGCCTCACACAAACATATATAGGGCCACTGTAAGGTGACTGGATCATACAGGCATTACAGCTGACTAGCTATTAGGACTTGGGGCCTGTTTAAAAGAGGTGGGTCATTATAAGCATGACCTAAAAGGTTATATCTCCCATTCCAGCTCTTCTTTTGACTCTCTCTCTTTCTCTGATTCCTGGACACTATGCCATTAGCAGCTCTCCTCCACCAGGCCCTTCCACTACACCTTTCTGTTTTGGAGCCAGCCTTCTGTGGACTAAAACATGAGTCAAATAAACCTTTACTCCCTTAAATTGTAAGAGTCAGGTATTTTGTTCCAGAAATGAGAAAAGTGACTAAAATGATATCATTTCAATAAAGAAGAAATAAATAAGTGCACAAAAAATTAGGAGATAAATAAGGCTTTGAAAACTACCTATCATACATGGACTAATTAGAACAGTCCTGCCACAAAGGTCGACAACCTCATTTGTGGTTACCCTGTTGGAATATAAAGTGTGCTACCACTGTACGCTATGCAAACACTCTAAAAATATAACTCACTAAAATATATTTTATTGAGGAGTACACATAGTTGGATTTATTTTGTTCTGATAATTCACTTGAGATGTGTAAGAACTTTAAAATAACCTCAGTTAATTTGCTCTAGTTAAAAGACACAAAGCACAGCTTTTGTAAATATTTCTGAATGCAAACTGATTCTTGAGACATGTTATAGGAGTCTTTCATAATCCTTAATTTTGATGGAGAACCACTGCTAGAATCTCATATAAGTCTTACTCTTCCTCTAAATATGAAGCATATATCTTTTATCTGGAAGTTCAGCAATGCTGGGAAAACATTCTAAACACCTGTTGGAAAAGGAAACATGATACTGATATATTTGATTTTCTAGTATATTAGAATAAGGAATTAGATACAGATGACAGATCTGCTTCCACCTTATGGCTCTGTGAGTTTGTAAACTGAATTTGATATTTAAAATCACTATTACATTCAGAATTATTTAGCATTCCTTTTCTGTTTGTACATACTCATGACAATAACAAAATAGCCCCAGGTATTCCATTACCAATCTTCATAAACATGTCCACTGACATGGTCTCTATCAAATTCCACCCTGTAAGATTAAATGGAGTTAAATAAAACAGTATGCTTGAACCTGTATTTTTCATTTTTTATTACATTGTGTCTGTTATCATTTCTTATTTATTTAGCCAAGGCATAAAAGGTTTACAGACTCAATTACAATTTCTCTCCTGATGTTTATTTCTTCCGTCTTTCTTTCTTTTTTCTTTTCTCTTTCTTTCTTTCTTTCTTTC